GTCGTTTCTCACGTTTTAGTTGCCGTAGTTGATCCGTGTACCAAGGAGAGTGTGGTCTCAGAGTAATATTCCTTCATTGTATCGGAGCATGTTTGCCGAGAAGTGAACAGAGAGTATCATTATAGAGTGTTACTAGGGTGTCCAAATTTGTTGCATCTTCAGAACCTTTTTCCACTAGTGAGGACACCACAATATCACTCTGAAATCTTGTGATGTCAATGTTTTTAGTCTTTCGAAAAAGAACAGCTTTACGGGTGGCATGCGGGCGGGAAAAGTCGATGTTACACAAAACAGGTTGATGGTCAGATAATGATTCTCCCAAAACAGTCAAATTTGAAATTAGATTATCGTCAGAACGAGTCAAGACAAGATCTAGCGTATGGCCACGTCGATGTGTTGGACCAGTAACGTGCTGTTGTAAACCAGCAGAATCAATCAGTTCCGTGAAAGTCTGTGCATTAGTGTCAGTAAGGTTATCAATGTGAAAATTAAAATCCCCAGCCAATACAATTTTATTTGGTTCTGATGTAATACCTTCGAGCAATGTAGAGAAGTCAGAAAAGAAACGTGCAACTGTTAGTTTGTTCTTCCTTGATGGTGGCGGCCGATAAATTGTCAGTAAACGAAAAGTCTTGTTCGCCAAGGTAACACTTAAATCAAGATGCTCAAAAGATTGAAATATACAAGATTCCGTTTGTTTTATGGTAAGACCTCTGCGTACAAGACTGCTACTTCACCACCCCTGTTTGTCCTTGGCAAGTGGTAAATATCATGGTCTTGCAAAGTGTTTGTGAGATCAGCAATAACAAAACTATCGCTGCCTGTCAACCACGTTTCAGTTAAAGCTAATATATCCAAACGTTCAGAGATAACAAGGTCACATAGCGAAGTTATTTTGTTTTTAATTGAACGTGCATTCCATACCGCAAACCGTAAACGAGGTCCGCAATTTGAAACATTAGATTCCAGAGGAATTTGTACGAGATTATTACAATAATAATTTCGCGTGGAATTATATGCAAATTGCTTTGACCTTTGTACCATAGGTGAATTACTGATAACTTGTATATTAAAATACTTCGAGGCTTCCCTCTGCTTTACTTTTTTCCCACTTCTCTTACCACGATAGCTTCGATTAGTTTTGCAAACATATGGCCACCCTAAAGCGGCTCCAGCCGGAATACGATTATTGTAGAAACACAAACTGTTCGCCGGCAAATGCGACAATTGTAATAATATATTGTCATACATATGACGCCCAGACCCAGTTGTTGTTGTTGTTGTAATGTCAGCATTTCGATAGCAGTTCTGACTATGTAATACACTGGTCTGCCCCGAAATATTCTGACAGTTATTAAACGATCTGATAGGCCCTGGATTTAGCTCAACATCCACATAGATTGTAAGGTCTTTCTGTGGAAGAATGTAACAGATATAGCCGTGTTTTGTCCAGGCATATAATGGTCGTGATGGATAATGTCCGCCGTCCTTGCATAAGAAATAACGTTTGTGCCAACTTCCAGGACTCTCGATTTGATCGAATATAGCATTATGTTCACCATAGTTGATAGTTTGATGGAATAAAACATGAAAAAGCACAGATAAAATCAATAAAACACAAGAGCACAAATACATTGCAGCCATGTTTAGGCGCATTTACATAGTAATATCCCACTTAGGCCTATCCTTTCTTGCATTAATCATTATTCGTATAATATTGCTAAATTCTTTATTCCTCTTCTCACTCCCATCTCGACCAGCACTTATGTCATTAAGGATTCCTTCTCTTTCGTCCAGGAACTTCTTTCTTCTGATCTTGATACGAGTAATGTTATAATGGCTAGTTTTGATGTTACTTCACTCTTTACTAACATCACTGTTGATGAAACGATTGAGATAATTACTAATCGTTTGTTTTCTAACTGTTATAGATTTCATGGCCTCACTCGTTCTGATTTTACTAAACTCTTAAAGTGCTTATGAAACGAAATTTTCGATCATGAGTTTTTTATTGATTTTAATAGTTTTTGAGAAGCTGAATGCGATGAGCTTATTTATTTTTGCGTATTCCGATTGGAAAGTATTTATTTTTCACTTCAAAAAATGCAATTTACGACAAAAAGGCTTCCGAGAGCGCACGCGGCCTGTGACGTCACTGGTTAGAGTCAGCTTCGATAAAGATGGCATCTTCAAGTGGTTCGCACTCAAGTTCGCAAAAGAAAGCAAAACAACTGGGGAAATATTGCGTTGCTGGTGGCCCTGGAAAGGCGAGTTGCAAAAATCATTCGCTATGCACTGGAATATCTACGCATCTCTTTCCAAAATCGAACGAAAGGTTGAGAAATTTGTGGACAAAGTTCGTGCAAAAGCATCGCCCAGACTGGCAGCCATCTGCATATTCCGCGCTTTGTTCAGCCCATTTTGAAAGTCATTGTTTTACTCAACGGCTTGATATTGGGTTGGAAATTGTGAATAACGCTAAAACAAAACGATGGCTTAACAAGGAAGCGTATCCGACCGTCGATACTGTGGTACCTTCTCAAACAACTCGCGAAATATCTGACAGAGAACACCGAAAGGTAAATTCGCAAATATACTCAATGGCGGTCTATATATTATCCTCAACGTTCAATGATATTGAGTTCTGTGTTGACTTTTAATTCTGTGTTGATGTTAAAATCTATGTTGATATCGAGATTTATTTTATATATTGTTCTTTCACGTTGTTTTATATTAGACTTTGAGAGATACTTTGAAGCCAGACGTTCCTTCGACTTCGACAGCCCCATTAGTCAACGCAAGCGATATTGCAAGTGTCGACCTCCCGGACGAGACAATCAACACACCTACCACTCCAGAAAACAAGTCGAAAGATCTGGATGTATACAAGGAAAGACTGCGCAAAAGTGAAGAGAGAAATGCTAGCTTGAGGAAAAAGCTTTTTCAAGAACGTGGTCTCAGGCGAAAGCTGCTCAAGGTAGAGTACAGTCGTGTCATGTTTCATGATAAGTAAACAATTGTTGATACAACGAAACAACGCAGTAATATAAAAGCGAAGTATTAGAAATCTCGTTAGAAATATTTCATTAGGCCTATTTGTGCTGTTTTGCGTTTTCTAGGAGCTAGAATCCAATACCAAAGCGGAAGAGGTGACAAGTGAGGCAAGCCATAGAACAACTAAGACTGCCACAGCTAGAAAAGATGAGAATGCAGATCAAGTCCAAGACTATGACACTGACGAAGAAAGCATATGCGAGGAACAAGATCCAGATTGGGACATGCTGGAAGCTGGAAATGATGGAGATGACGCAGAAATCCCAAATACAATACCCCATTCAAGAAACTTAATAAGGTATTACAGAATATTGCATATTGATTATGTATTGGGTGGAAAAATTCCTTACATTGTTTCTCTTTTGCACTTGCTAGTTTTGCCAGACAATTGAGATACACAGGTCACAAGTAAAACAATCAATTTTCATTTATTTTTTATATAGTTTGCCTTCACATGTCAAGTGCCAGGACGAGCCCAAATTCATAGTGTTCCATAGCATGCTGTTGTCTCTATTTTCCTTGTTCTGCTTTACTTGCAAAAAAGAAAAACCTAAAGTGGACATGTACCAAAATGGGACCATGGTTACTGTTGTCCAACACTGTAGTGCTTGTGGTGTGGAGTCGTTCAAATGGAGGAGCCAACCCTATGTTTTTGGACGATATCCAGCTGGCAATCTGTTGCTTTCCTTTGGAATACTGATGGCTGGTGCCTCAGTCAGCAAAATCATTCTGGTATTCAAACACATGGGACTTGCTGTCTACACCTCACGGACCTTCTTCTACCACCAAAACAAATTTATATTTCCTACCATCCTAAACCACTGGGAATCATATCAGGCCAAGTTGATTGAGTCGCTTCAAACTATCACCGACACAGTGTGGTGTGGAGATGGTAGGTTTGATTCGATGGGTCATTCTGCAAAATACGGAGTGTATACAATGTTTTGTACCACAATAATGAAAATTGTTCACTTCGATTTGCTACAAGTAAGTATGAAATATATTGCATTTGTAGAAGGAAACTGCATGTTACTCCCAAGCAAAGCCACAGTGTTTCCACACAAATGTCACAATGAATTGTCAGTTGTTTCCTGTTTTGGCAGAATGCAAAAAAGATATAAATGTCACTGTTGTTTGACTACACTACAAGAAAATTGATTTACAGTGTATCCAAATCAGGCTGACCAAAAATGACACAATTGCCAGAGCGCCAGTCATGCCTGCTGAAATCTGTAGTGTGACTGAGCGTTAGGCTTTACTCTATAATTGATACCTTAGTTTTAATAAAGCATGTTCTGTGGCACTTCCAAGTTCAAACTGTTCCATATCTGCCCACACACTAGTCAATGTCATCATGTTTATATCTTAGTGGTACTGTAAGTCGAAAAGAAACTTAATCAAATGATGGCAGTAAAACAATTGACATTTGAAACATATTAATAATTAGTGAATGGCCATCATTGAACAGTTCGAAGAGGTCTCGGAACATGTTTTCTTCAATGATTAGATCCCAACATCATGAGTCAATCAAAATTCTGCATGTTGCAGGCAAATCAGACTGGTAACAGTAATGCAATGGAATTGGAAGGGGCAAAGGGTTGCTTTGATTTCTTGCTGACTGTTGCTGGCTTAACAATCCCAGTATTTATATCCGATCGGCACCGCGGGATCACAAAGTGGATAAGAGAATCTCATCCAGCAATTCAGCATTTCTTTGATCAATGGCATATTGCCAAAGGCATTGTAAAAAAAATGCTGGCTGCAAGCAAAGAGAAGGGATGTGAACAAATTGGAGAATGGACAAAAGCAGTGAGGAACCATGTTTACTGGTGTTCAACATCTACAGTAAAAGACTTTGGCAATATGATCCTGGCAAAATGGAAGTCCTTCATGCGACATGTTGCAAATAAACATGACCATCACCCGGACAACTTGTTTCCAAAGTGTGCACATGATAAACTTGAAAGTCAACGAAAATGGATCAAAATTGGTATGGGAACAACTAAATTATGTCTACTACTGTATATACTGTATGAGGACAGAGAACATTATTGTATAGCTTGTAAAATGAGTGTTACAACTCCCCCCCCCCCCAATCAGCACGACCCTGACAGTAGCACAATGACATTTGGGAATATCTATTGTAGGAACCAGGGCTTATGACAAGTTGCAGGGCATCATTATGAAGAAGTCCTTTTTAAACGGTTTGAAGAAACTCTCTCCTGATGCACAAACAAGTTCATTGGAGGGATTTCACTCCACGCTGAATCAATGGCATCCAAAAATGATTTGCTTTTCATGGCTTGGGACATATTGCAGGTACTGTAATGTTTTTCTAATATGTCTCCCCCCCCAATACAATATACTCTAATTAGAAAATAGCCTTTTCAGTTGAACCTGAAGTAGAAATGTTATTTAGTATTGTTTTTTTTTATCTTTACTCTTTAGGCACATACTTGCTACCCTCCACTTCAATGAGAATGTGAACCAGACTACAAAAACAACAAGAGATGGCAAGAACTATGTTAGCGTGACATACCCAAAATTTAAATTTGGGGAGGAAGTTGTGCGAAATATCCCTGTACCGCCAACATATGGTATGTTGGATGTAAAAATTTCTGTCTTGTTAACCCATAAAGCCCCCAACTTTGTCTTTTTTACTCTAACTGTAACACTAGACAATTTTACTTGTAAAGGCATTACTTTAGGCATTATCTTGTAATCTTGGTCATATGGGCTAATTACAAATTTGAAACCAGAATTTTTTCAAGTCTGAATTGTGAACATATTGTACTGAATAACATTGATCAAACAATGACTAATCAGACTATCTGTTTTTGTCACATGACAATTAATCCAATACCTTTCAAACACAGTATGCTCTAATTTGTTATTTCTCTTATGTTTTACTTTATAGGCTATGTAGAAGATCTGAGGGAGGTTATGTTTAATACCTCTGAAGATGACCTAGACAAGATCAAGAAGACAAGACAAGACAAGATTTATTTGCTCCTTTCAAATTGCAATTTATATACACAAAGAAATTATTTAAATTATAGTTAACATTATTATTATTAGTAAAATATATCTGTGACTAATTGTTTTGTAATTTTTGAGAAGATTTGAAAGAGAGCTGGCTCCCTGAAATAACCACAGGGCTATATAAATATCAGGAAACCAAATAAAGGACGAAAAAATTATGAAAATTGACAATATATAGTTCTATATCAAATATATTTAAAAGATCGAGAAAGGAGTCCTGCATGACTCCCGATAACGTATAGAAAAAGTTGGAGTTGGAAACTGAATCAATACTTTCCAAGAAAATCGATTCTAATTTTATATTTAATTTGAGAAATCGGCAAGTCTTTATATGATTCATGTAAAGAATTCCAAATTTTAGCGCCTTGATATTTGATATTGAAAATTCCGAAATTTGTTCTTGCTTTTGGTAGTATATATGTTAATTTAGAAGCAAGCCTCGTATTTTGAGAATGAACATTGCACACAGGAGTAAAGAAATTGTTGAACGTTGGTGGCAACAAGTTGTTATGATATTTGTACATGAAAAGAACCACGTGTAGATTTAGAAGATCAGTCAACTTAATAATATTCAACTGTTTGAAAAGTGAGCTAGAGTGGGCATCAAATTTAGAGAATGTTATAACACGCACAACCTTTTTTTGGAGTATAATTAAAGGTTTGACAGTTGAGGAATAAACATTACCCCATATGATTAAACCATATGTTATAAAAGGGTAAATTAAAGCATAATATAAATTAACCAGAATGTTGCTATCTACATAATATCTAAGTTTAGACAAAATTCCTATACTTCTTTTAATCTTTTTTGAAATGAACGTAATTTGTTTTTTCCAAGTTAAATGAGGATAGAAAAAAACACCAAGATACTTTATGTGATCTACTTGTTTAATGACTTTATTTCTTACCGAAAGTTTTATGTCTGTTAGTATATTTTTTTGGTAAGGATGAGATATAAGAAAGTTTGATTTTTCAACATTAAGTGATAACCTATTAGCACATAACCAAGTATCTATATTACTTAATTCTATATTTATATTGGTTTCAAGTTCAAGTAAGCATCTATTTTTGCAAAACAAATTTGAATCATCAGCAAAATGATGAAAATCGAAAAAATTAGAGCACTTATGAAAATCATTGATGTATAAAAGAAATAAGAGGGGTCCTAGCACTGACCCTTGGGGAATTCCGCAAGTGATGTCATATAGATTAGATGAAATATTGTTTATTGAGATGAAATGTTTCCTATCCGTTAGATAAGAATCAAACCATTTTTTGGCAATCCCACGAATTCTGAGTTTTTCTAACTTTTTCAGTAGTATTGTATGATCAACCGTGTCAAATGCCTTACTAAAATCCAGGAAAATCCCACAAGAGTATTGTTTCTTTTCAATTGCTTGTTGAATTTTATCAACTATATAAGTAATAGCATGGCTTGAGGGAGATTAGTGATTAAATGGCCCCGTAACCCGAGGCAGGTTTGCGGAATTCCCGAGGGCGAAGCCCGAGGGAATTCCGCAAACCTGCCGAGGGTAAGGGGTCATTTAATCACTAATCTCCCGAAAAACCATGCTATTAGTTTGTAATAGCATAGTTTCGCTCCCATTTAAAAATGGACAAACATGCCCTACTTGGAATCAGCGTATTTAAGCTAAAACATTTGCTTCATTGCTTGTGGGATGTAAAAGCTTGTTGCACATGCGCACTTTTTACGCTCTAATCGGTTACGCATGCGCAATCTATCATTTAACGTACCACAACAAACACGCTAAATATATTAGTATAAATTTGAAGACTGCACGTGCGTAATTTAAATGATGCGGCAACTCAGGGATCGGATGATAGACTATTGACGGCTCTGAGCTAACTGTTGCTGTTCCTTGCACGATTATGTGTGTGAGGCACTTGCCTAATGCGTAGTCGTCAGGGAGACAAAGGTGTGACCCTTGGTAACGGGCGATTAGTTCTAATCGCCCGCTCTAGCGGGCGATTAGAACTAATCGCCCGCTACAGCGGGCGATACGTGATTAAACGTCCCTGTTGAAACAAAAGAAACCCGGGCAACTATGCTATTATAGAAATAATAGCATGCTCAGTTGAATAATGAGATCGAAAACCGAACTGATTATCATAAAGAATATTTAAATTCTCGAGGAAACTACTAAGTCTGTTATACATGAGTTTTTCCAGTAATTTGTTAAAAACAGAAAGAAGAGAAATTGGTCGATAATTATTTATATTAATTTGTAACCCCTTTTTGATTACTGGGATAACCCTGGCAATCTTAAACTTACTGGGTACTATACCTGTAGCGAAAGAAGCATTGAACACAATTTCCAGGGGTTTCGATATAAATTGTTTCAAGGGCCTCCAGGGCCCTGTTGCTTTACCAGGTTTCAGAGTTGTGATCATAGACTCAATCTCAGCCGATGTAGTAGGGGATAGATAGAAACTGTTAGTAGGGGAATAATTATGAATATAATCTAATGGTGATTTGTCGACTTTAGGTATTTCCCTTGCAAGATTTTCCCCTACGTTAGCAAAATAATCACCAAAGGCATCAGCGATCTTTTTGCTGTCGTTTAATTCCTGGTCATTATATATTAATTTTGTAGGATTACAGTTGCTATTTTTTTTTAGGTAGATAATTTGTTTCACACCGTTCCAACTAAATTCTTTTTGAATCTTTAGAATGTTTAATGAAATAATTGTTATAATATTTCTTTTTGCTAATTCGTAACAAATGATTTATTTTATTTCGGTATATTTTAAATTTAGAGTGATAATGTTGAGATTTTGTTTTTAGGTATTTTTGATAAAATTTGTTTTTTACATAAATCGATTTCTTAATGCCTGGCGTTATCCATGGTTTGGATTGAATCTTCAATTCTTTTTTAGATAAACGTTTAATGGGAAGGTGTTTATCAATAATTGAAGACATTTTATTTAGAAATATTTCAAACAGTGTAGACGGATCAGGATCAGTTAGAACATGTTGCCAGTTTATTCCTCGAACCTCATCAATCAAATCAGGTTCATTGAACTTGGAGTAGTCTCTTCTAAAAATTTTAATTTTGGTATTTAGGGAAGAAAATTTATTTATGATAAGAAAATTAGGCAAATGATCAGTAACATCATAGACTATGTTACCGCTTAAAGTAAAATAATCCATAGAATTAAAGAAAATATTATCAATTTAAATTTATTGCTGCACGCTATGTATGTGATACCGTAGTCCTCTGATGTAAACAATACTGATGTCGCATTGTTTCCACATCTTCTAAATCAGAAACTTTAATCTATGTTGATTCATTTAAGTTTCATTGAGTGGCAGCACTCTGCATGTGCTGTGTGATACAGTAGTCCTCTGATGTAAACAATACTGATGTCGCATTGTTTCGACATCTTCTAAATCAGAAACTTTAATCTACGTTGATTCATTTAAGTTTCATTGAGTGGCAGCACTTTGCATGTCCTGTGTGATACAGTAGTCCTCTGATGTAAACAATACTGATGTCGCATTGTTTCGACATCTTCTAAATCAGAAACTTTAATCTATGTTGATTCATTTAAGTTCCATTGAGTGGCAGCACTTTGCATGTCCTGTGTGATACAGTAGTCCTCTGATGTAAACAATACTGATGTCGCATTGTTTCAACATCTTCTAAATCAAAAACTTTAATCTATGTTGATTCATTTAAGTTCCATTGAGTGGCAGCACTTTGCATGTGCTGTGTGATACTGTAGTCCTCTGATGTAAACAATACTGATGTAGCATTGTTTTGACATCTTCTAAATCAGAAACTTTAATCTATGTTGATTCATTTAAGTTCCATTGAGTGGCAACACTCTGCATGTGCTATGTGATACTGTAGTCCTCTGATGTAAACAATACTGATGTTGCATTGTTTCGACATCTTCTAAATCAGAAACTTTAATCTATGTTGATTCATTTAAGTTTTAAGTTCCATTGAGTGGCAGCACTCTGCATGTGCTGTAAACAATACTGATGTCGCATTGTTTCGACATCTTCTAAATCAGAAACTTTAATCTACGTTGATCATTTAAGTTCCATTGAGTGGCAGCACTTTGCATGTGCTGTGTGATACTGTAGTCCTCTGATGTAAACAATACTGATGTCGCATTGTTTCGACATCTTCTAAATCAGAAACTTTAATCTATGTTGATTATTTAAGTTCCATTGAGTGGCAGCACTCTGCATGTGCTGTAAACAATACTGATGTCGCATTGTTTTGACATCTTCTAAATCAGAAACTTTAATTTATGTTGATTTGTGTACCCCATTGAGTGGCAGCACTCTCCCCTGACAAGTAAAATCGTCTGGTGTTAGACAATAGAGTAAACTAATCTGGCATTAGACAGTACTCTGCATGTGCTGTGTGACACTGTAGTCCTCTGATGTAAGCAATACTGACAGGGGCGAAACTAGCCCCTTTTAATTAGGGGGGTGTCTGGCAGAATTGCCCTGCCAAAACCAGTGATGCCCTGCCCAAAAGTACCAAAAACATTTTTGCGGAAAAATTATTTTGGCGACCCCCCCCCCCCGTCGCCAAAAAAATTTCGGTCTGTGTACCATTTTTCGGAACATAACACAAATTTTCGAAAAATCACACAATTTGCGAAAAAATTCACTTAATTTTAGATAAAATTGACTGAATTTGTCCCATTTTTTTTTTCAAACCAAAATTGCCCGACTGTTGATCGAATATTGCCCCCGCCCGGTACGCCTATGTGCTATCATTTATTTATAAGAGACCTTTGATTGCCCTGCCAATCGGGATGATTCGTATTTTGGGGGGGTGTAACACCCCCCCATACCCCCCCTCAAGTTTCGCCCCTGAATACTGATGTCACATTGTTTCGACATCTTCTAAATCTGAAACTTTAATTTATGTTGATTTGTGTAACCCATTGAGTGGCAGCACTCTCCCCTGACAAGTAAAATCATCTGGCGTTAGACAGAGTAAACTAATCTGGCATTAGGCAGAGTAAAATAATAAAATGGGGTGCATCTGGGGACATTGCCACTTAGGTGTCGTTTATGTGGTCTCAGGTGCTAGGGACACCCTACCCCCCTAGACAACTTTACTGCATGTTTATATGAGAAAAATGATTGTATTAGCCCTGGACCTGTATCCCCTCCCACGAGAATGGCTCTAAGTACAAGCTAGATTGTGACTCCCTTAAACATAATAATAATAATAATGCAAGTTATCCCTTGAGGCCGATATTATACATATAGTGTGTTTAAAATGTAAATAAATCAATGTAACTAATCTTCAACTATTTTTACAAAGGTTGAAAAGTCACTATCGGGTGGATTAGTGCTAACTGACCCCAGGCCTTTAACACACATTGTGCCCCAGTATTCTCCTTTTGATATGTAAAATCAGTTTATTGGCATTGAATAAAATAATATAATCTGGCATTAGATAGAGTAAAACATAATATTGAACTGTCTTTTCCAGTGTAGGCAGTGCCAATCAAATTAACAAGCTTTTGTTGGTAGGGATTACTACCTGAAAATATATATTAAGGAGAATTTTGACATTTTGAGTGAAAGCCCTTCTCCTAAATATGTATTTTCAGGTATAGTTGCATCCCTACCAACAAAAGCTTGTTCATAAAATACTAGAAATACATGCATGCAATAACCCCTCCCCTGTTTTCAAAAGATATATACTCAGTGCCGTTGCGAGCACTTCGTCTCAGGGGGTGTGTGTGGTTAGATAGAGGGGGGGGGGGTTACCAAAAAGTTTCCAGATGTACAAAAAATTTTCAGGACATACATGTATAATAATTTTTCCGAAAATACAGTTGTTTTCCAAATTCACTTTCTCAGTCATGTCCTGAGAATCACCTGAATTCCCCTGAAAATCTTCTGCAAATCTACTTAAATGTACGTACTAAAAGTGCACAGGAAATCTACCTGAAATTCATCATGAGCAATAATCAGGGGTGTTGCACCCCCCTCCCCCCCCCCCAGTGAGTTCCAAGCAAACACTCTCTGATTTATTGTTCGTGTATTTCGATCACCTCCCAAAATATTGTGCATCATACTATAGAGCATTTTGCTGTTGTCATGCTCTAGCATGGTTCAAATTTATGAATTTTTATTATATAAAGTATAGTGTTTTACAGAGTTTTCGAGCACTGACAAAAATGATAATCTCAGATGTGAAATTATTCATGATAATCTCACATGTAAAAATTTATCGCCTTTTCAATTATCGCTTTTCTGTAAACATTATCGCTTTTCATTTAAGACTGTCCTTTATATAATAAACAGAAAAATACATGGGTGGTTGGAAATACCAGATTTATTTTTTGTGTTGAACATGACATCTCACTCGTTCGCTGCGCTCACTTGTTCGCTGCACACTCATGTTCAACACTCGAAATAAATCTGGTATTTCGTGCACCCATGTATTATTCTCTATTTAAACTACAGCTAGACTGGTTTAAATTATTATCAATTTATCAGTGATTGTAAAAGTTGGAGATAGAAGTGTTTTGTTTTATAAAATTATCAAGTTGTCGGTGATCGCAAAACCTCCAAATTCTTAATTTCAAATGTTAGAATGTTAGGGTTAGAATGTTAGGGTTCGTAATATATACATTTTAAGACCTAACCAGGAACGACTGCGAAAAATGCAGCACAAGGTCCTCTGGTAGGAATTGAACCTACGGCCCTGCGATTCCGGTGCAGCGCTCTAACCAACTGAGCTACAGAGGCCAGCTGTTGAGCTTTAACCGTAAGTTCATGTATATTTAAGTAATCGGGTGTGCGGGTTATGATAAGGTGGACTTCAATAATTTGGATTCTTGCACTTCACTTGGTGGACTTAATATTAGAATGTTAGGGCTTGTAATCCAAGTGAGAATATATACATTTTAAGACCTAACCAGGAACGACTGCGAAAAATGCAGCACAAGGTCCTCTGGTAGGAATTGAACCTACTGCCCTGCGATTCCGGTGCAGCGCTCTAACCAACTGAGCTACAGCTCGGCCAGCTGTTGAGCTTTAACCATAAGTTCATGTATATTTGGGTAATCGGGTGTGCGGGTTATAAGGTGGACTTCAATAATTTGGATTCTTGCACTTCACTTGGTGGACTTAATATTAGAATGTTAGGGTTTGTAATCCAAGTGAGAATATATACATTTTAAGACCTAACCAGGAACGACTGCGAAAAATGCAGCACAAGGTCCTCTGGTAGGAATTGAACCTACTGCCCTGCGATTCCGGTGCAGCGCTATAACCAACTGAGCTACAGAAGTCAGCTGTTGAGCTGTAACCGTAAGTTCATGTATATTTAAGTAATCGGGTGTGCGGGTTATGATAAGGTGGACTTCAATAATTTGGATTCTTGCACTTCACTTGGTGGACTTAATATTAGAATGTTAGGGTTTGTAATCCAAGTGAGAATATATACATTTTAAGACCTAACCAGGAACGACTGCGAAAAATGCAGCACAAGGTCCTCTGGTAGGAATTGAACCTACGGCCCTGTGATTCCGGTGCAGCGCTCTAACCAACTGAGCTACAGAGGCCAGCTGTTGAGCTTTAACCGTAAATTCATGTATATTTAAGTAATCGGGTGTGCGGGTTATGATAAGGTGGACTTCAATAATTTGGATTCTTGCACTTCACTTGTTGGGATTAATATTTGAATGTTAGGGTTTGTAATCCAAGTGAGAATATATACATTTTAAGACCTAACAAGGAACGACTGCGAAAAATGCAGCACAAGGTCCTCTGGTAGGAATTGAACCTACGGCCCTGCGATTCCGGTGCAGTGCTCTAACCAACTGAGCTACAAGAGACCAGCTGTCGAGCTTTAACCGTAAGTTCATGTATATTTAGGTAATCGGGTGTGCGGGTTGTGATAAGGTGGACTTCAATAATTTGGATTCTTGCACTTCACTTGGTGGAATTAAAATTAGAATATTAGGGTTTGTAATCCAAGTGAGAATATATACATTTGCATATTCTCACTTGGATTACAAACTATTCTCATTTGGATTACAAAATATATACACCAAATATATACATGTACTATACCGGTACATTTGTATATTCTCACTTGGATTACAAAATATTCTCACTTGGATTACAAAATATGTCATGTATATTCTCACTTGGATTACAAACCCTAACATTCTAATATTAATTCCACAAGTGAAGTGCAAGAATCCAAATTATTAATTTCAAATGCCCCGCCGGGGCTAAGGTTCGAGTGGAAATGCCCAACCCCCGGGATGTGCTTTACAGTAAAATGGCTGGGCGAGGGGGATGGGCACACTTGGATTTGGCTGATGCATTAAACGTCCTGTGCTTTATATTCCAGACTGCTTGTCAAATATTTACTTGCTAGAAGTAGAAATTTACTCTGACAGCTGGATGAAGAAGACATTAAATAAGTACTGGTCAATAAACAGAAATGTATTTTATTTCATAGTATTACAATTTTATTTTTATACTATAAAAATAAAATATAAACATGCAGCATAGAATATGCAAATTCGAGGCAAAATTATTGTTGAATCGGTTTATTTATAGGATTTATATAAACAAATAGCAACTATAAAAGTTTGTACCTTGTCTTCACATCGCTTTATTCTGTTAGCCAATGCTTTTAAATTTACATATTTTAGAATCAGTTCCTTTCCTGGTAACTGCATTTCTAAATGAAATCATCGTGAGTAGTGAGTGCTGAGCAGGCCGTTTTACAATAAACAAATTTTAGGAATTGTTAACAACTTTGAAAAATATATCGTTGCACATTCGGTCACAGTCGGAAAAATGTTCATAGTATGTTGTACCGTCGCTTGCAACTAACGATGAACAGTCGCTCATAAAAACATTCGCGTGATTAGAATCTTCAATGTTTGTCAAGAACAACAACACTTAATTGTTGTTTCCCATGTGTACAATAAAAATAAGTAACAAAACTTTGTCTGAACTTGTTGGGCTAGAGACCTACTGGAAACTTTTACAGGCTTTTTAATGAGAATAGAGAATGTTTTATCTGCAACTGTTCACCCTTAGTTGCCACCGACGGTATTTGACAGCATAAAATTGCCTGTGGCTGTGATAACTGATATAAATAAAATACAGTCTGGTTATACTGACTTGAGCGTGTCATGACAAACTCTTTATTGGAAAATTGTGAAGAAATAGTCGAATATAGAGGGTCGAATATCATACTTAAACTTGTATAGCTACAGTATCATTGGTACATAGCGTTGTGAAGACAAGCCTTTGCTTTAATACCTTTCGCTTCAGCAGTCTTTTTTTCCCATGCTTCTCCACGCTTTCCCAGGCGAGCTTCTCTTTCCTCAGCAGTCTCCTCGAGCAAACGTTGTCGTCTTCGCTGGCTCCCTCCTTTTCGCGAGACGTTCGGCTTTCTTTTCGTTTCCTTGCCGCTCTTCATTTGGCTCCATACAGTAGTCCATATCTTTTCAATTGGCATTTGATACCATAATTGTTTTATTAAACTCTTTATAGAGCAAATTGCTTTGAAAGCTGTCAAAGTTTTTTGCAAACGTACAAAATACTGCAGTGCAAAAAGCAAATTATTTTCATGAAGTATCTGTCAGTTGAAGTCGTGATTTGTCATACAACAACAAATTTTAAATTTGACCAATCAGTGTTCGCTATCCATGACAGTCCGCCATCTTTTTGAGATCAGTGAGGATGACCACCCACGCACAGTGACCCACGCCCGCGATATTTGATGAACTTTAGACTTGGCTAATGCTTTCGTTTCCCCGGGTGTAAATAGCCGGGGGGAATTAGTACCCTCGCACGGCGCTTCGCGCCGCCGGCTCGGGGATAATACAATAACATTAGTTCGACGCAAATTTTAATACAAGTATGGTATCATATTTCATAATATAACAAACAATGTAAACTAGCCATACATTTTGCCGAACATAACTTCGGCCTCTTTGGACATATCTTTTTCGTAATAATATTATTGGAACCAGAATCGAAAACACTATTTATAGTGTTATTTCAAGCTTGCGTCTTGAGATTTTCATCTTTTATTTTGGTATTTACAGAATATTTATATTTTTAGCGCGGCCCATGGAAATCGATTCTGTAGGTCGGCATGATTTGCACGTGCATCGATCGAGCTACAAACGTGCGTGCGAGTAAAAACCTGACATTTTGAAAAATTCAAAATAAATATTCCTACTCTGTGCCGTATTCAAACGAAACATTGTACATGAAAGCGCTTGAATACAAGATGTATTTTACTCACATTGACTCTGAGCAAATTCTGAAGAGTTACTAAAGAATACTAAAGCAGGGTGCATTGCCTATTAATGGGTTAATAAGAGCATTGGCAGAAGTGTTTGTCAACCCATTTACTGACAGTACTCTGCCACTAACAATTAAAATCGTCTGGCGTTACACAGTGTAAATTGGTCTGGCGTTAGCCAGAGTTTAATACTAAAGTAGTGTGCATTGGCAGCTAATAGGTTAATATCGATCCACTTTTGACCCAATGGCTTCATTTTCATGTTCGCTGTTTACTCGTATTCCGTGCACAAAATTTAAGAATGAGTTTGTGAACGGGCTTAAATGATGAACGAGAAACAAATTTGTGCAGGAAACATTGGAGATATAACCGAGAATTGCCTAGAAGTATAAATTTTTGCATTCAGTTCATATGCCAAAAAAGGCAGCACTTTCCTTGCGACAGTAACTCCTAGTTATGAATTTGCACCATTACTCCCGAAAAGGTCTTTTATTTTTTTAAAAAGTCCATAAAATTTGCTTGCGGTTTAAGATTTGTATTCCTGCCTTTTGCACCATAGCACGTATGTCGTTATTTTCAGGCCAGTGTGAATGCCTGAGTAGGCGTCTTGTTATCATTAATTCATTATCGATCTTTGGAGTTACACTTGTTTTGTATTTTGTTAAAATACTCAGTGGTTATGTTTTTAGTATCAATGTGTTTAGCTAGCTAGGATTTCTATAATTCCTGATAGTCCCTAATGCAAGCATTCCTATTGGAATTTTAACCCTATAATCCCTATAAGAATATAAGATACAGCCAATAGTTCGCACTTCAACTGGACGCCCTGGTGACTAGTTTACGTTTCAGAGCGCAAAGCTTCATGGGATAGCATCGTTTTATTACACGGCCCCTCTTTTTCTGTTTTCGACGAGAAATGGAGTTTGCGTTAGGTCATCGCAGGCTCAGGGTGGAACGTGCTCCAGTGACATATTCAGTTCAGTTTCAAAATGGCGGCTTTTCACTGAGCGATCTAACATATATTTCACACAGTTTCGTTGAATTTTCAAAGAATTGTGTCGGTTTCCTATGGATTTTATGTTGTGTCGCACTCTGGCCTTTCTTGCGTGTTGAATTGGTGTGTTTTTCTTTGTGTAACGACTCGAAAACCCCAAAATTTGGACCCAGCGAATTTATACAATATAGTGGAATATAAACAAGGACAAGTTAAAGGTTTGACAGTTTGACTTTTTAATTAACAAGTATAAATATACGTTGTACGTAGGCTCATAAACATGCGTTGTGCTCTTGTATTTATTTGCATAATTATAAATTTGCACCTAATTACATTAATTTGCGCCAAATTACTTTCTAATTCATCATATATTACTATAAAATGTATGTTTTCGATTGTATTCAGCGAGGTGGCGTTGCGTGCGGCGAATTGAAACGTGATACGGTTCGATTTGTTTTTGGAACAAGATCCAACTTTCCCCCCCCCCCCACTTTTTTAATTCTCAAATTGTTTATTAGATGTTTTCTGGTTGGGGTTAGAGAAGGTCTTTGAGTTGGGATCAGTTTATCTTATAAATGGAAGCAAATTGGCGTATTTTTTAGAAGAATCGACTACGTCTATGAACTTTTTAGCACCTGAAACTAGCCATATAACGGCATTAAAAATCAAGGACTATAATTTCTTCGCTATTATTGGCCCGTCATTATTCACGGTTGGTAGTTGATGATCATAGTACTACAGTGGGCCTGGCTTGTCAGGTTGAGTTGCCCGTACGCCGGAGGGCACGTCTGAGCCGGTGTCTTGGTATATTATGGTTGATAGTTGCTGATCATGATTGTATTTATTGGTTGCATTTATATGATCCAGTATCCTTACGATCCTGTATCCCTATCTACTTCTCTACTACATATTACACCCAATACTACGAAAGTTGCCATATTCAGGCCAGTGTGAACGCCTGAGCAGGCGTCTTGTTTGTGATAAAAATTAATTGGCATGGTCACTGCGGTGCTTGGAATATTTCGTTGATATTTTTAACCCAAACGGTGGAAAAGGAATCGGAAAGTTCTTAACATGTTATTCAGATGTCACAGGTAAGAATACTTTTATATTTGACTTATTATTTAAGCTCTTTAATTGCGAAATAATGTGGTGAATAGGCCGTATTCTGTGACCCCAAAAGTCGCTTAGAAAACAAGTTTCGTTGCCCACATTCCCCATCTACTTTTATTTTACATGAATCTATAGATTTTGATACGCTGAGTACGAATTCACTTGTTGTCACTCACACAGACCCGCAGTTTTTTTGTATTTTACGATCAAACATCAACATTTTTTATTAAAATTTGCGCCATTTTGTTCGGGAAACTTCATGTTATATGCAGTTATTGTACTAGTCCAAGTCTCTTAGCAGGGGGGTTGCACGCGGTATTATGCAGTTTGTTATCATTCTTCTGAGAAAAATATACAGAAATAAAATAAAAATATAGATATTTTTCCAAAATATAAATGCAAAAGGTACTGCTACATGTTTGTAAATAATTAGGAATTAATCTATTGTTCTTTATTGCATCAACTTTAACAATCAATCAAACTGGGCATTGTTCCTGACAGTTGGAAACTAGCAAATCTTAATTGTTAAATTTGCAGATGACATAAATCTAGGGATTAAGGTCACAGATGATAGTGACGCCTCTTATATGGAAACAAACAATATTATCAACTGGGCGGAAACAAATCGCATGAAACTTAACTATAAAAAGACGTGGGAGATGGTCATTCGCAGCAAGATAACCCGGCCACTTCCTGTGCCTCTGCCTATGATTGTTCGTAAAAGTTGGTTGAAGATACTTGGTGTAGATGAATTAATGAGTAAAGCCTGTAGCAGAATGTACATTATTCGGATTTGCAAATACTACGGGTTTTCTATAGGAAAGAGCTGGATCTTCTGTTCCATAGTCTTATTTTATCAATATTAGTTTTTGGTATAGAGGTCTGGGGATGTGCGACGTATTCTAAGTATCTTAGTCAAGTAGATAAACTTTTAAAACGTGCATATAAGTATGGATATCTTATGTATCAGGTATCGATTGTTGATATATTAAACAATAAAGACAGAGATTTATGGGAGAAAATAACTACGGATCCCAACCATGCCCTGCAAGTTTTGCTGCCTCCTAGTCGTCAATTAGAATTACGCAATCGCGGACATGAGTATGAACAATCTCGTTCTCCGAGCCTGCGATCCTTAGGAAGGAAACGAAGGCTCTGGGATAATCCGAATCAGACATACAGAAAACTGTATGTCGACCGAACTGCGCATGCGTTGGTAAAAGCAAAACAAATTGTTTGAAATATTTTATTGTTTCGTCTATAAAACTAGAAGTTACTATCGCAAGGAAAGTGCTGCCTCATCCCCAAGGGATCAAAGGCAGCATGCACAATTTTCTGAATAAGGGGCTGTTTATACGATCCCGCTTTGCCAGGACGAGATCATGGTCTACAACTGACAACATTTGAGGTCTGTTAATTAACCAGCATTTGAACTTTCATTTAACCTAGTGATTGAAATACATCAAAATCATCCCACTTTCCATCATGTAAACAGCCCCTAAGATGCCTGTTCAGAATGTAGGAAAAGCACATTTTGAATACCAAAACACCTTGCACAATGTCGAAGGTTAGCTAAATATTCTAATTCTTCTTAGATTGCCACTGAATACTGTACAATATCATATAAACAATAATAATACTTGAATGAATCATTGGACAAGTATAGAATTTAATAACAATTTCATACGGCACCTTGAAGGCTATGTTCACAGAACAACTTAACAATTTGCTGATGGGGAGACAAAATTTATTTGTTGACATTTTTGTTTAATATGTCAGCTTCAGATGACACTGTTCATGGCTAGCTTGCCACTGAATACTCCACAATATCATATACATATATATATATATATATATATATATATACATATATATATATATATATATATATATACATTAATAATACTTGAATGAATCATTGGACATGTAATGTATAGAATTTAATAACAATTTCATACGGCACCTTGAAGGCTATATGTTCACAAAACAACTTAACAATCTGCTGATGGGGAGACAAAATTTACTTGTTGCCATTTTTGTTTAATATGTCAGCTTCAGATGACACTGTTCATGGCTAGCTTGCCACTGAATACTCTACAATATCATATATATATAAACAATAATAATACTTGAATGAATCATTGGACATGTAGAATTTAATTAGCCTCCTACGCAGGCATCGCCTTTAGATTATCGGGCAAAATTTCTTGCAGGCAAAAAACCGAGATGCCTGCGGAGTTCATGTGGTTACGATACTATATAACTCCTGATGTGTTCATGTGGCTACTAACTCTTGACGAAGGGCCTTCGCTCGAAATGTCGAGTTTCGGCTTGTTTTTCTCAGGTAATAATATAACTACTCAGCACAGCAAGTCAGTCACATTGGTACTACCCACACTGGCAGTGGCGGAAATCTCGGTGGGGCGGGCAGCTAGCCGCCCCCCCCCCCCACCTTCGTGGAAAATGACGAATTTTTGGGAAATTTTGACCTAAAAGAGGGCTAAAAACAACCTTTTCGAGTGCAACTGGGGGGGGGGTTGTCGGAAATTTGAAAGTTTTGTCAGAAATTTAGAAGGATTCGCCCCCCACCGGAAAGAGTGAATTTCCGCCACTGCACACTGGTACAGACAGTTTTAGTATGTTCACAGAACAACTGAACAATCTGCGGATGGGGAGACAACCACACAACCACATCAGCAATTTGCTGCTATTTTTATATCGTGTTTAAATAAATGTTTTTGAATTGAATTGAATTGAATTTGTTGACATTTCTGCTTAATATGTCAGCTTCAGATGACACCGTTCATTTGTAATGACTAAGATTGTACTCAGTCATAACTGCAAAACTATATAACTAGAAAATACATGCATGCAGAAACCCTCGCCTTGCTGACAAAACCATTGTATGTTCCGAACATGAAGTTCTAAAATAGTTGTCATGGTAACACAATAATTTTTTAAGAATATTCTTATAAATGAAAAATCGCCTAAAAATATCACTTTTAATTACAAAATCATTAATTTCCCAACATATATATCTTAGGTATGTTATTATACGTAATATAAGCCTCAATTTAAGGTAAAATTCAACCACAAACGCTTCGCAAAACGTTTTAAAGTGCTCTTTAACTTGACTACCTTTAATTATTAAAATGGTTTATCGATAAACTTTGAGTTTGCAATAAAATGATTTCAAATTCTCGCTTGCAAATAACTCAGTGCTTTCTTTTTCATTTAAAAAATTCAATATAATACAAAAGGGAATCAATATTAAAGATACACTGAAATTATATTCTGTCTTGTTTAGTTGTTTCATATACGCAAAGGCCGTCGGGTTTTAAAGCCATTATAAAATCAATATTTAAAACAAACTTACCTTCGTTAACGTCGGCTCCCTTCTTTTAGCCGATTCTTTCGCAGTTTCTTTCTCCGAGAGCTTTTGAAATTTACAAAATATTGCAAAAATGCGAGTAAAAATGAAATATATTCGCAAGAAATTTATCAATCATGAATCATCAAATCAAGAAATATTTGCTATTTCGCTGACGTGATGCAGTCGTTTATGCAAACTTTAAATTGGACCAATCAGTGTCCGCTATTCATGACAGTCCGCCATATTTTTGAGGTCAGTGAGGATGACCACCCATCGTTGGTGACCCACGCCCGCGATATTTGATGAACTTTAGACTCCGCTAATGCTTTCGTTTCCCCGGGTGTAAATAGCCGGGGGGAATTAGTACCCTCGCACGGTGCTTCGCGCCGCCGGCTCGGGGATAAGAAAGAAATTGCGAGCATTATCAAAAAATATAGTATACCCTGAACACAGCCAGGTGAATATGTGAATGTAGGTTGGTAGCCGGTAGGACTATTTCATATTATGCTAACAATGGACATATCTCAGAGAATATAGTTTCACAGACCGTCATATACCTCGTACAAAAGGCGGTTGACATGTTATATTACATGTAACTGCTGGTAAGTTAGCTAATATGTGCAGACAACAATCCACACTGGTCACTGGGTTAACCTGCATGCATGTGTTGCTATAGGAATATGAAATATCTTTACATTATATTAAAAGCATACACAACATTCCGCGTTTGTTTTCAAAACGTGCCGAAATCACATAATTTGCTATATCTACAGTATGTACATCTAGAATGAACACTATACACTCATCGCGCCACACAAACAAATAAACCAAAAGTACATTTTGACTCCTCATGCAATGTGCCGATAAATTGGTGAAATCATATTATTGTTTCAAATACCTCATATCGAACACTTGCAACAGCAGATCTAAATATAAATGCCTTCATGTAATATCACCAGAAAGAAATAAAGCTTTATTCTTACCTGAATTATTCAAAATATTGTCGATTTGTGAAAATCCAACATGCCAGTGTATCATGCGAGCGCAATACAAAATAAATTTTTACCGCCCCCCTTGGTTTAAAAAATCTTCCTGAAGCCTTAATTATTTCCCCGGAATTACGACATCTTTACATACAAACAAACAGACAGACACAAATTCACAAAATCGAAATCTCGATCGACTTTTCATAACTCGGCCAAAGAGACTGGACACAAGTAAACGCAGGCACGCAGTACTTCATGTCAAGAATAGTGTGCTGCCTTCGGCAGCAATGATTATTTTTTCGGGGTTTTGGTGGAAATGTTGATGTTCTTCATAGTGGGATACAAAAGGTGTGTTAGCGCATGAATAAGGAAAATATTGCGTGTGAAACAGGGTCAGTATAGAGCCGGCAGGAGCCGCGAAGAGTGCTCTTGTCGAAGAAAAATGTCACAATTAATTGTAATCTTGTCCATTCACCTCTGTGTTAGTTTGAAAAAGCTTTAAATGTAGAGACATTTGTGGTTCCTCCAGCATAATTTAGCCGTTTAACGCTATTATGTTTCTAATGGTTGAAAGAGCGCGTGGAAAGGGCAATTTAAGAACACAAACAATTACAATGTACTGTGTGTTAATTGCTACTGTATAGTATTAAAATACCTGAAAAGAGTCTCAATTCTAATATTAAGTCGGTTATAAACCTTGATAATATTAAAGTTTTCAGAAGATTTGTTTATCAGAGGAATATTAAAAGGATTTTAGACTTAAAAAACATATCATTAAAAATATGAATATAGTGAATTCCATGTTTATATTGTATTATCATCTCTAGAAATTAACAGTTTATAAACCAAATCCTTGTTATATTTTTTAACTGCCCTTATAGCTTTCCTTATATATTTTAATATTTGCCAGCAGTTTAGTAAGTTAGGGATGCAACAGCACTTTTCAAATTATTGAATTATAACCAAATTTTGTATCTGGATAGGAATTACTATTAAAGAGTTTACAGTTTGTAATGACAGAGTTGGAGCAAGTTAAGCTGCAATGTGCCTCAGTTTGCCCTACTTTGTTATTTTAAGCTGTTTAACGCCAGAATTTTTTCTCGTCAAGGGGAAAGTATTGGACTTGGTATTTGAATAGGTTAACCAGTCCATCTACATGTTTATACCTATCTTTGGTTAATTATCTCATTAGATCATTAAGCCACAATGTTCTTTAGTGCACCCTATTTTGTTATTTCACTGTACTTCTGGACAATATTTTTCATCAATGGCCGGAAATGTACTTGACTTCATGTTGATTACTGCCATTAATTAATTAATTAACTACTGTACTAAATAGGACAGTCAAGGTTGGAGATATAATAGAAATAGAGGTTGCTATCATTGTAGCATTCAGGGGCGTCGCTAGCCCAAATGGGTCGTTCCAGAAAAGATCTATACTCCCCCCACGGAGGAAATTTCTGCGGGAGGAGGGGAGAAAAAATTGTTTCTGATAATAGTAAATGTATTAGGACATCCGAAGGGGGGTAGGGGGGTTAACTTCCTATTTCCTCTGTGGGGGTGGTATGGATGTTTTCTGGAATGACCCAATTGTCAGGCATTTGGCAATATTGTATCGCAATCGGGAAATTGTTTTCGTGGCCAGCATGATTTGAATTGGATAGGAATGGAAAAAACTGCACCCTATCTGCACCCTATGTGGTTCCCTGCAGGGGGTCATAACCAGGGGGAAGCTGATGAAAATGAATTCTGGTATTGGTGGCTGATCACTGTCATTTAATATTTTTGTGAATAGAACATTTCTTAAAAAAAGTATATGGATTTATTAAAAATATTTATATGGTCTCCCAATCTGGAATTCATACTTTGTAACATTTGGATCAAAAGGTTTATGACGTTTTCTTGGACAGAATCAAATTAATACAACCTCGTACAGAGGGCAGGGCTTCTTTGAATTACTGCATGTGTGGACAAGATTAACGGAGGGATTGCCAATTTGGCATATTGTACTACTCAATAAACTAAAATCATTAAATACTTTATGCTACAATTAGCTGTAATATTATACTGCATATTATTGTGTTTCATATGACGTCATAAATTTGATGGGGGGTCAACTCTAAATCGAGACACAGTCATCAGAGTGAATTAATTTTTCTCTGTATGTGTTGGCCTTGTGTTTGGTGGCAAATACATGCAATTTCTAAAATACGTTTTAGGTTAACCCCCCGTCAGAATGTGCAAAATGCCATAGTGAAACCCAAGAATTCATTATATGTATTAGGTGTATGCAGACTGGAATACAAGTTATAATATCACTGCCTGTGAAATTGTGGTTTATTTAGAGAATAAAGGTTTTTTGAACTCTTCTATAAATAAATTATAACAGCAAAAGATTCATATGCACCCATATAGGGAAGAGTTACATGCTACAAGTTAAAATGAGTATTACATACTCCTGCACTTGAAAAGTTTACAGTACAGTATATACATTAAATAATAAAATATATAACAGTAAATTCCAAGATTGGATTTATTGAAACTAGTCATTAGCTAGTTCTTCATTATTAAAGTTATCATTAGCTAGTTCTTCGCAATTAAATAACACAAAGACAAATTAATAAAAGTTATTAACCATTTCTGACACAAATAGTATTTGCAAAATATAGCACATATTTGATATTATAGTCAAATAGTACAGTGTACTGACAGTACTGTATACTATGTATAGATTAAAACTACAGAAAACCTGTATGACACAAATATGAGTAAAATTTTCACGCTCCATTTAACTGTTGTGATATTATATGCATTAAGTATACGTTTCTTTGCATTTCCTTCATAGTATTAGTATATAGCACAGCTCTGAAAAACCAAAACAATATTCGTACACTCCTAAATGGCCGCCATGTTGTATATAAATATATACGGTTAAAAATTAATTTTTGCAAAATTGCAACATTCCATTGCATACCAGCAACCAATCATATTCATTTCTGACATGGATTATCCCAGAGCCTTCGTTTTCTTCCCAAGGATCGCAGGCTCGGGGAACGAGATTGGAGTATGAACTACCGAGAGTTCGAACAGAAAGGTTTAAAAGAGTGTTCGTTAATAGATGTCTTTTTAACTTCATATGATATTTTTTAAATTAGAAATCAACTCCTTAGGAACTACATTAAACATTATAATAATGGTATTTTAGCTCTATTAATGAATAATATCAATACTAATACAGTAATTAGTATAATAATTATTAAGTAAGTGCAAATTGTAAGCCCGCACGTTTGTTATGAGGTGTTGCTTTTAATATTTTAATAAAGATTTATACAATACTATACAATACAATACAATACAATACAATTTTTGGGTTTTTTGGCTTATCATGATGTGAAATTGCAAAGACTGTCACTATATCCATTAAAGACTCTCACTTATTGTCATTGGTAAAGTGATTTATTTTATTTATTACTCTGAAATTATGTACATAATTTTGGCCTTGCAATGTGAAATTTTTGTCAACAATGAATAAGGAGCACAATATATTTGTTTAAACGTAGGTTACAGTCCCTTCTGCGCATGTGCGGACTTTGTTTACGTTTTTTGTTTTGATCCACATTAATTATATAAGATGAAGTATATGACGAGTTCAAAGTAACATTCCACATAATTTGTGAGTGACCGAGAAGTGCAATGTTTGACAATATTTCGCTTCATTTCTCGCGACATTTCTACTCTCGAAATTTTTGTACACAATAACACAATCTTATACTGTAACTGTTTAACTGTAAACATCGCGAATAACGTTATAAAAAGGCACCTTGTGTGACTTGCTATATCGTGTGACGTTGAACCTTGTGTGACTTGCTATATCAACAGCTGGGGCGGCGAACCGAAATCCCGAAGGTGTGAGTTCGAATAATTTGTGTTTACCTTTGGAATTTGTGTCTCATCGTGAAAATAGTTAATGCGGTATCAATCCCTCGAAACATGTTGCCAGTGTTGTTGTTGTCATTATGACAGAAGCGCTTTGGGACAAAGCTTTTCGCATGACGAAATTCGAAACAAGTGTGATTGAGAATGTGGCTGCAGTTCCTAGCTGTCTTCGTGGCAAAGCCAAGGGCGAAATTTGTGACCGTACAAAAGCTGGATAAACAGCTTTTGTTCAAGCTCGTGCGCGCTATGATTTCGTTATAAACAACAGAAGAGTACAATAGATTGACAGTGACGACAGTTACCAGACGCTAAGATTAGCCTATATTCAACGTTTTTGTGTTATAAAAATGTATGTTTTGAAATTATGAACTGGAAGTATGAATTCATTGAGATTACTCTCATATTGACACTAAATGATGATATTGTTGTGATACTGAATGATCTAATAGTAATATTAACTTCAACAATTCTGGTCAATCTAGTGATCACGTTAGTTCATCATGTCCCTCAAGACAGAGGACAATTGCTGAATATATGCTTGTTTCGCTCTATAGGTCTATCAGAGCTCATCAGAATGCTCAGGAAACACTGATGAAATTTTTATTTACATCAACGAATCTTTCTTTTTCAAAACAGATTTATTGGGTTATATGAATATATGATAATACAAATAATTTATAAACAATTATTATTATTAGGCATTGTAATGATTATTTTACTATTGCTGTATTGCTGTATATATTGGGCCTGTTTGTTTTGCTTTATTATAAGTAATAGCATAAAAAGAAGCGAATTAGCTATTAAAACGTCCTGCCCGATGAGGGTCGTTTACTATAATTCCCTTGGGCGCCACTCGATGAGGGTCATGCGGGTATTCCCGTTGTTCTCGCAGGGCCATTAAAAACCAATTAAAAATAAATAATGGTATAAATTAAATGGTATAATTGTTTTCCCTGTCTTTGTTTAGTTTTGGCGATTTCAGATATCTTCATTTATATTCATTTTTTCTAATCGTACCCGCTTTGACGTCGTTTCGGGTAGGATTAGAACTTAGTCTAATTCTGTTGGAGATTAACAATATATATATATATATATATATATATATATATATATATATATATATAGACAGTATTAATTGTTATGAGATTGTTATATAGGGCGAGATATTAAACAAGTAAAAAGGAAAGAGATTGTTAACTAAACCTGTGTTTATAAAACTGTGAATTGTCGTAAACACAACAGGAGGCGATTTACGACACCTGGCACCTCCCGACGGGATTGTAACTAGAGATGTAGCTCGAGCAAGAGCAAGGGAATTCCGAATATAATGGCATTAAAACAACAACTCGACGAAATTGATGGCAAGTTACGTTTACTCAATTTTACGACCAAGAAAACCGATGATATACTTAAAACAAACGATGAAGAAGTCGCTATTCGACAAAAGGGTCAAATAACAAAGACTATTTTGGCTATAAGTGACCTGAAACAACTAATCGAAGAAAAGAAATTTATCGAAGGCGACTCCGAAGAGAATGTCGCAGCATGGGGGGAATCAATCGAGGAAAATATAGCTTTGGCCGACGAGAAAGTGAAGCAGTTAAACGAGTATATTCAGCGCCTTAAAGCAGACAAACGCCAGAAAGAAAGCGCCCTGGAAAACGAAAATAAACGACTATTAGACGAAGAAAATTATGCGAGACAACAAGCCTTCGAGAAACACGAAAGAGATAAACAACTTGCCTTCGAACAGGAACTTTATAAACAGGCTCCTTGATAAATGTGTACATTCCATGATATTTAGATACTTTCTATTGACATTTGTGGATAAAGTTATACGATTTGGCAGCGCAATGCGCATGCT